TGATGTCCAGTCATAACAGAATGTTAATTTTGAATGAAAGACTAAGTAAACACACAGATAACAATTTCAATAATTCTTTTCATTGCTACCTAAACGGAGGTTTCATATTTTTAGTCTTAAAATTTTTTATTTGTAAGTATAAATTGTTTCACTGTATACTTACAAAATGTAAATCTATTCCAAATAAATGTACATGTCAAATTCAATTTTGGTAAAGAACAGTTAAGAAAAACACCATCTCTCATTTTTGCAAAAAACAGTGCTGGGGGCCGAACATCCTTATACTGAGCAAGCACTTGACCAGAGCCATTTTCTCCCACCCCTCACTTTCACTACTTTAGCAATGGGTATTTAATATACTCTAAATGTACTACACTTGAAATTTTTTCTGTAAATTAGGTTGTGATTAGATGAATAAATCCCAATTGTGTTTTCAGTCAGGTTACCCTTGTATAACAACTTCCATGTAACAGAATCCGACACATTAAAGAACTATAGGTTAAACTTGTCCGCCAATAGTTATTTTTAGAAAGGGCCTCCCTGTAGCCCCAGCTGGCATGAAACTCACCAAGCCGACCAGGCTGGCGTCAGTCTCACAGGGATCCAATGGCTTCTGCCTCCCAGGTGCTGGATGGGAGGCACGTGCCACCACACCTAGTATATATTTTCTAGTGTCTTGCAAACTGAAAATTTCTATTATTCTATTTACAAAAAGTACAAGTAACACAAAATTAATGTGAAAGTACTTGGGAGAGAAAAATATAAAAAGTGAACACCCAACCAGTCCTACAAATACTGGAAGCAATAAGATGGATGAAAGGAATAATCATACTGAAGAAGCTATGGAAAGAAAGCAAATGATGGTATAATTATCGAAACACAAAACAGGGCTAAGAAATCCAACAGAAAAAGACAGTAACCAACACATCAATAATAACTTTAAACATCAATGACCTCAACTACCCTATGTAATTTCTTACTATCTTCTGAATATATATCCTTGTATTTATAGACAAGTGTAGTCCTTAACACTTGATCAGAGAAGCTACTTTTTTACAACCGACAGAGACTATTACAAAGTTCCACAACTGGTCAAATGCAGTCAATAGTGACTATAAAGGGCTCAGCTCTAAGTGACACATCTACAATGCAACCTCTACACCTAAGGTTCGGGGAACAGACAGGGCAAAAAGAATGTAAGAGCCAGAGGGACAAGACACCTGGTCATAGTTAATTCATTCTAGACATGATAGGGAAGCTATATCAATGAATTCCTCACAGTATGGTAGACTAGTAAGATCTGCATAATGACAAAAGCAGTTGATATACCAAGGTAGACGGGGGAAATGTCACAGGGCTTCACTTCAAGGTGAAAAGCTAGAGGTACTAAATGGATACCAATGGAGGAGGATCAGTTTTCTCCAGGAATGAGTTCCCTTAGAGGTTATTTAACCCCAAGTCATCAGTCCTAAACGCATGTACATAAGAGCACCACTTAATGGACTGTGTATTATATATGTGTATATTTATATTATAAACATATGTACATATATGTAACAATAATAATCAAAGAAGAGGATAAGAAATTGTGAGGAAGTGAGGGAACATGGGAAGAGTTGGCGGGGGACTGGGAATGATGGAAATAAGGTAAAGACAATATTCGTCTATGAAATTCTCAAAAAAAAAAGAAAAAGACTAATAGGGGTTGGAGAGATGGTGCAGCAGTTAAGAGCACTTGTTGCTCTTGTGGTAGACCTGGGTTTGGTTCCCAGAACCCACACAGCCGCTCAAAACCACCTGTAACTCCAGTTCTGTGGGATCCAACACCCTCCTAGGGGCATGATGCACACATGTAATGCAGATAAATACATGTAGACAGAATGCTAATACACGTAACTTAAAACAAAAACAAAAAACCCAGAGTAACTTTAAACAAAGAATAAAAGGCTATATATGTTGTTTTCCACTTCTTTGGGGGAGAAAAGAAAAGTAAGTGACAACGTTCACTGCTCTAATGAAGGGAAATGCTGACATTAGCTTTCTGATCATCTTGAGTCCTTGAAGATATTTCACATGTACAACCAGTTCAGCCTGTAAAACTGGGGTATGAGCATAAAGGAAAAAGTAGGAGCTAAGAGAGACTGATGATCCTAAGGATCTTTAAGCGTGATTCTTCAAGCGACTTAAATTCTGTGAAGACATACGGTGAACCACATTAAAGAAAAAAAAAAATCACTTGGTTTTATTTTGCTGAATAAAGTCATATACTTTGAGAGCATTTTCAATTATGTGATAACTTAGAAAATGTGTACGAATTCAGAGAATGTTGAGCTCTTATGCTTCATAATACTGAGAATTTAAGGTTTTCATTTAAAAGAATAAAATCTATCCAGTGATGTTCCAATTGCAGATTTTATAATGAATTTTACTTCTTGCTTCCTGGACCTACAATTCCATTTACAAATGATTATCGCTTCTGAGTCATATCTAGAAAAAACACCAGTATTTCTTTTCAAACAGTATTTATTTTCAAAACAAGAAGACAGTGAGGCCCTTATACTTGCATGTACTGGACATTCCACACTTAACAACTGGAAGTTGGGAGAGAAGCAATGCACATCAACAGTAAGATAGGATTACAGGCTTTCATTTCAGACAAATGAGTGGGAACAGAAGGGAGAATGCGATTGTGGATTTAAAAAATCTTATTTATTTTTATTTTATGTGTATGAGTGTTTTGCCTGCATGTATGTAAGTACACCCACGTTGTAAAATGCCCATGGAGGCCCGAAGAGGCCATCAGATACCCTGGGACTAGATTAATGGATGGTTGTTAGCTGCCATGAGGGTGCTGAGACTTGAACTGGGGCCCTCTACAAGAGCAGCAAGTGCTCTTAATCACTGAGCCTCAAAATTGTCATTTTTTATAGTGCAATAGGTTGGGAAAGAGTGTCAAAAAAATAACAAATAAAATTCTACAAATCATACAAAGCAGTGCTAAAAGAATTCCTAATTAATGTGTCAAAGATATGTAATAAAATAGTTGTCATCTAAAGCATATTCTGATGATTAGAATATGCTTCACATTCCAAAAGACTCTACAGGTATAATTGGAGGGGTTACTAAACTATTATTTGATTTAAATAAAGTACAAACATTTGTCAATTAAAGGACATAATTTCTGGTAAAAAAGATAAGATGGGTAAATAAATCAGTTCAAATAAGACTAAAACAAATACATTAAACAATGTGGAGTTTGCTCAAGATCACAGTATACTCAGAGAGAGTATCAATCAACAGAATGTTAGAAATACATGTTATTCCACACAGTGAAGTGTATGTATGCCTTTCATTTAATGTTATGCCACTGTCTAACTTGTAAAACCCAAACAGTATCTTTTAAATTGTTCATCCTCCATAAGAACAATTATAAATACCAGGTGAAATTCTTTTCAAGCTTAACATCTCTGAACTTAACACATGTAACATGAAAGTCAAACCCTGGTATAATCTTGTACATATTTCAGGATGCTGGAAGATATATTCAAAATGTTTCTTTTAGAACTACATGAGGTTTCATTAGCTATATTCAATTCATTTCAATCAGTTTTATACAGGTAAAAAGCAGTTATCTTAAAATATCAACTATTCACAAAATATTTAGAGCTACACCAAAATATAAGAATGTGGTTGAGATTATTCAAATGAATGTAAACCTTAAGCTATGAAAGTAACTCCAAGTTGAGTTTCACACTGGCTTTCAATAGTGGCAACCGTCTCCCATAAGTTACATTGAAGGACATTTACTCATTTAAAGAAAAACCTGATTTATTTATTTTTAATATTTTATTATTTTTATGTGTATGAGTATGTTGCCTGCATGTAGGCAAGCGTGCCCATGTTATGCAATGCCGGAGGGGAACAGAAGAGGTCATCGGGTCCCTTGGAACTGAAGTTACGGACAGTTGTTAGCTACCAGGTGGGTCCTGGGATTCGAACATGGATCTTCTGAAAGAACAACCAGTGTTCTAAAACGCTGAGCCATCTCTCCAGCCCCCCTGATTTACTTCTTACAGTGATTCCCTTGATAAGCTGAACTTTTCATTTTGGATTTTACTTTATTTTTTTTTTAAAGTCCAGATTATTTCAACTTCTGGCCAACAAAATAAAATTGTAGTATTTTAAATTCTAGACATAAGAAATTTGAAATAAACGCTATTTAACAATTTAATGTTTGATACATGTAAGCTTAGTCAGAGAAAGAGAATGATTTTTGAAAATGTTTGAAAAAGAAATTTAACGGGAGAAAATCACCTAATCATTCCTAACACTGAAAGTCCTGTCACATAAGCACAACCAACAAATTACACACTGTGCTGAACTTCAAAAATGTATTTTAATCTCATTCCAAACAGAAATAAAATTTCTAGATACAATACAGCTCATTCAAATCAGTTTTTAAACATACATTCAGCAACTTAAAATATTATAAGGATTCAATATTTTCATCTTTTATAACCTCAATATATTAT